GGGGGGAGCTGGGTAGGGCCCTGGCAGGGATGCATGGGCCGCAGGCGGGGCTGGAGGTGGTTTTCTCGGGCTGGGCAGAGTGCAGGTTTTATCCTTCAGAGGACCAGCCGTGTTTGGCTTCATGCGTTTCTGAGTATGGAATGCATGTCCATGTGCACATCCCTAGCAGAGTTAACGAGTCCGTTTTAATGACAGTCTCTAATATGCTGTCAAGCCCCATTTTTCTTTTTTTGTCCAGCTATAATTCTCGATTATCATCCATGGAAACATTTTCATTGGGTTGGGGCTGTATTGATGTTTAGTGCCATTGACTGGTAAAAAAAACCAAACCAAAAAACCAAACCCCTAGTCCTTGTTATGATCTGCTGCTCTCCCCCTACCCAAAGACCTCACAAGCCAACTAACAAGCTGAGAGGGATAGAAGAGTGAGAGGCCCAGAGGAATATGGCAGGTTTGAGTAGATAATATTGTTCCCACCCATTCACCTTGTGAAATGTGAGGGTGCAGGAGGTCCCACATGGGCTACTCAGTGTTTGTGGCCTTGGCAGGCACAGTGGTGCTAATCTGGGAGCGTGGGGCTGCTCTGTCAGATAGGAAGCCCACATGTGGCGTAGTGGGGGGCTGTCTGCTCTGTAACCCGGGGTCCCCCTGTGCTGTGATGTGAGATTCTCACTGACTCTCCCAAATGTGTATTAAACAAACAGACTGCACCAGCCAGTGGAATTGAGGGTGGTTTATTGCTCCTCCAGCACAGCGCAGCACAGATGTAATCTGGTTACAGGAACTGGGGGCTAAGAGGTCTCAATGCCCCCCTTGAGATAGGGGAGTCCCAGCCCCCTCCCCAGCTCCTTCTTCTCTGCCTTCCAGCCAGCAACTAACTCTCCCTCTTCCAGCCCTGCCCCCCAGCCAGGGCACCATGCTACTGGCTGGTGGAGACTGTTCGTGCTGCTACGGGGCTGCAGGACCAGGGGAACCCCCGACTGCGCCATCACACCACATTTTGGGGTACGTTGTGGAAGAAAACTCAGATGGCAATGGGAGAAGGGATAAAAGGAGATGGCAAGGTGGGCGTAACTGGGAGGGGAGGTAACAGTAAATGTCTGAAAAGTGGGTGCAGACTGAGGTTTTGAGTTGAGACACTTCTAAATGTGCAGAGGTGAGAGGGGAAAGCCATGGAGATCTCTTGGTAACAAACACAGACCTCAATCCTGCAATCAACTCTGCACAGCCACGCGCCTCAGTGTGGGAATGGGACCATGCAGGTCTCAGCTCATGATGCCCAGCTGATATCAGGACAGATGGGCTACGTCTAGACTGGCAGGATTTTCCACAAATGCTTTTAACGGAAAAGTTTTCTGTTAAAAGCATTTGCGGAAAATCGTGTCTAGATTGGCATGAATGCTTTTCCGCAAAAGCACTTTTTGCGGAAAAGCGTCTGTGCCAATCTAGATGCGGTTTTGCGCAAGAAAGCCCCGATCGACATTTTAGCCATCGGGGCTTTTTTGTACAAAACAGTTTTTAGCTGTGTACTCTGGCCCTCTTGCGCAAAAGCATTTCCGGAAAAGGGCTTTTGCCCAAACGGGAGCATGAAAGTATTTGCACAAGAAGCACGGATTTTGTACATTACAAAGTCAGTGCTCTTGCACAAAATCAAGTGGCCAGGGTAGACAGCTAGCAAGTTTTTCCGCAAAAACTTGCCAGTCTAGACACAGCCATGAAGTTTTCATTCAGAACTTCAGTAATGAATCCAGTTGGCCTCTGGATGCCACTGTTGAGTCATGTTAGCATGAAAAGTATAAAGCAAAGTTGTTTGAGCCTGGAGTCCTGCTGGGGAGTTATCTAAGCCAGTGTTTCTCAACCAGTGGTAAGTACCCTTAGGGGTACTCGAGAGAAGTCTGGTGAATAAGTCAACACAACTGAAATTTGGAGAAAACTGAATTTTTGTTTTAAGTTTTACAGCGTTTTATTATTTTTGTACTTTTTACACCCAAAAATGTAATCGCCTGCC